AGGATGGCACAAGATAGAAGAGCATATAGAGCTCTTGTACATAGGGTCGCTATGAGTAGCAAGCAACTCGATAGCACATAACAACAACAGCAACTCCTTGGGGACAAAATTAAGGATCCATGTCCTGTAGGATCAAGTTCTGAGAAGGCTTTCATGTTTCATAGAACAGCAACCTAGTAATTTTATTAACATTTTTTGAAATTTCATTATTATCTTTTACAATACAAAACATCATAATACAATGCTGTCATTTTTTTAAAGCCAAGAATTTAAAAAATTTTAAGCCTTCCACATGGCTTAAGTATAATTTATACTAGCATTTACAAAGTACACCCCACAGATAAAATCCAATATGCTACTTATTTTAAAAACTATATTTTTTAACATAATACACAGCCACACTCATTGTTTATGTGCTGTCTCAGATTGGAATGCACTGTCAATGGCTGTTTTGCCCCAAAGCAGAATTGACTGGTGTGACAGAAACCTTATAGCCAGTGAAGTCTCATGTATTCACTATTTGACTATTTACAAAATATGTTTGCCAAACTCTGGCAAATGTTGGTAACATGTTTATAGCAACTAACTTTGGTTAATAAGATAATGAATTCATATTCTTTTTTTAAAAAAAAACAACCAAACCTAAACATCTTATAACTATATTTTATTTATTGAAGACAGAAAAACTATAAAATAATATTCATTAGGCATGAAAGCTCTTGAAGGCTAGAAGTATAAGATATGATTCCTGACTTTAAAAAACCTTCTAACGTAGCATTGCTGGAATAGATGGATATGTTGGATAGAGGGGGACTATTAAATAATTTTACTTGCATAAGCTAAGAGAAGCACATATGATAGCTAGAGAGAATTAATTTGTATTTATAAATATAAACTGGGTGTGTGCAAATTTTAGTTTAAAATTCAGCTTTCTAAGTCTTAAACATTAAAGGAATGGCAGATTTAATAATTATTTATAGCTAAGCATTAACTTCAAATCGTTACGAAAATTATAAGAGTGCTTACTATTGACCTGAGACCATTCTGTTGTGTCTCCATTCAGATTTTATACATACTGAGGTTATGAAAATCAAAGTTATCCCAGAAGCCACTGTGAGATATTTTGTAGATATACAGTATTTCAGGGCTTAAGCTGCCTGATGCACATAAATCTTTAATTCTTTTCTAAGTTTCAAGACATTGCAACTTAAGAGAGCAACTCGATGTCCACTGACAAACACTGATATGTTAAGGGTTTACAAAAGTAGCCATGTATTGTTACAGGGGTCTAGGCTGAAATTTCTAGGTTTATCTGTATACTAGGTTTTTACTTGTACCTGAAGTGTGTTATATTCCTGTCACATGTTTAATTTCTCTTAGAAACAGATGGACTCACCTGTTATTCTGGCTTCTCAGTTTGTGATGACTATCACTTTGGAAGTATTTTACACCAATAAACAGCAGTAAGATATTATGTATGATTGGAAGAGATCTATATTTGTTCTCAAGAAAGTGACCATTTCAAAGAAAGATGACCCAAAAGAATGTGGAAATTATCAAACAATATCATTGATATCACATAAAGCAAGATTCTTCTGAAAATTATCCAACAACGATTGGAACAAGCACATCTACAGAGAACTGCCTGAAGTCCAGGTTGTGTTAAGAAGAGCCCTCGGCACCAGAAATATTATAGCTAATGTTAGATGAATTTTGGCTGAAAGCAGGGAGTGACAGAGGAAAGTCTATCTGTGTTGCATTGAAAGTCAAAGGCATTTATTTGACTGTATGGATCACAACAAACTGTGGCTTACTCTGAGAAAAATGGGAATGCCAGAACACTTGATTGTGCTTATGCAAAACCTATACTTGAACCATGAGAGAGTCATCAGAACAGAGCAAGGAAACTGCATGGTTCAAAATTGGGAAGGGTGTATACCAAGGATGTGTCCTATCTCAATCCTTTTTTAGTCTATATGCAGAAAAGATTATCTGGGAGGCTGGGCTCTATGAGGAGAAATGTGGTATCAGGATTAAGGGAAGTCTCATCAACAATCTGCATTATGCAGATGACATAACCCTACTTTTTGAAACGGAGGAGGACCTGAAGCACTTGCTGCAGAAGGCCAAGCATTGCAGCCTTCAATATCGATGAAGCTCAACATCAAAAATCAAAGATTCTCACCATTGGGCCAATTGGTAGCATCATGATAGCTGATGAAGAGATTGAGATTGCTTGGCTCCACAGTCAACACTCTTGGCACCAGCAGCCAGGAAATTAAAAGACACATTGCATTGGGAAAGTCTGCTGTCAGAGAACTCTTAAAGTACTGAAGAGCAATGATGTCAGTCTGGAGACTAAGGTGTGCCTGATTCAGGCCATAGTCTTTGCAATTACTTGCTATGCATTAAAGAGCTGGACAATGGCTAGGGATGATAGAAGAAAAATTGATACCTTTGAGCTGTGGTGCTGGAGAAGAGTACTGAATATGTCATGGACTGCTAAGAGAACAAATAGGTTCGTTCTAGAGAGGGTGAGACCAGGCTGTCCTTGGATGCAATTCTTCTGAGGCTTCATCTGACAAACTTTGTACATGTTGCATGGAGGGACCAGACTGTGGAGGGTGACATCATGCTTGGCAGGGTGGAGGGACGTGCAAGAGAGGAAGAATCTTGATGAGATGGATTGACTCAGTGACTAGGGTGATGGTGGTAGATGTGTCAGAGACAATAAGATTGGCACAGGATAAAGCAGGGTTTAGGGCTGCTGTACATAGGGTCGTTATGAGTCACAGGCAACTCAACAGCACATGACAACAATAACAAATATCAATAACTTTGTAAAAGAGATAGAGCATAACTCAATTTATATGTGACATTTCATTCTATTTGTTTTCTCCATTTCCTATAGACTTACTTTCCCATTGACTTTCAATGATTGAAGGGTCTCTTTTATACCAGGATGACACCATTTCATGTCACCTAGCAGCTCTTCTTTGTTACATCGAGTTCGTAGATGGATAAAACCACCAAGATCCAAATAAATTCTTTTTCTTGATGATCAGCTCTAGAAATTTGAAATCAAGTAGTCTTAAATCCAGAATGTTAACAGAATAAAAGCTATTCACCTATTTTTAAGATAAATTGGGAAATAAGTGAATAATTTGGTCTTTTGGCGAGCTGAAAGAGCTGTTTTTCCTCCCTCAAGATTCTTCAGGAAGTAACTATAAGCTTGATAAGCTTAAATAAAATTAAGTTTGAGAACCTAACATATCAGCCTTTTTTCAAATATGTCATCATGCCACACACACTATGTATTCCGATCATTTGTAAGGAAATCTGCCACTAACGAAGATTAAAGTGTTCCAATTTTTTAATTATTTACTTTTTCAAGACAATATCTGTAATAACCATTCTTACTCACTTGCCTTCTAGTATATACTGAAGTGCAGAGAAATAAGACCTCAAGGCCATGATGCAGCATTAGCACAGGAGGCATATGGCACATGAACAGTATCTGTAAGTGGTGCCATGGTGTGAAAAATGGAAATGAGAACTACAGAGAGAAAGCAGGGAGAATGCACTTACATTGTGGATGTCATACTCAGAGTCAGAAAGCAAAATGTGCATAAATGGAAAACCAATTTTCTTTTTAAAAATTTTTACTTTATTTTGTTATTTGTGTGTGTGTGTGTATGTGAGTGTGTGTGTACCGTCAAATCAGATCTGACATGAGACAATTGTCCCTCCTTCTCCAGCAGAGCATCTGGTGGATTTAAACTGCACACCTCTAGAATTGCAGTGCAGCTTCTTGCCACTAGGCCACCAGAGCTCACCGGAAAATGATTTATCTCTCTAAACTTTCACTCAAATCATATTTTATACAATATAAGGTACAAAAGGGCTGTGTTCTTCCACAAGGATTAGAGCTCAACAACAAGAAGACAAAGATCCTCATCACTATGTCAATTGACAGTACCATGACAGATGGAGAAGCGATTGAGGTTGTTAACAATTACAGCTTGTTCAGATCCACAATCAATACTCATAACACCAGCAGTCAGGAAGTCAAAAGACAATTTGCTTTGGGAAAATCTGGTGTCAGGAACCTCTCCAGAGTACTGAAGAGCAACAATGTCAGTCTAAAGACTAAGGTGTACCTGATTCAGGTTATGGTCTTCACAATTACTTGCTATACATCAGAGAGCTGGACAATGAAATGACTAAGGATGACAGAAGAAGACAGGTCTGTCTTGGAGAGGGTGAAACCAAATTTCTCCTTGGAGGATAGGATTTTGAAGCTCTGTCTCAAATACTCTGGGCACATGGCCAGGAGAGACTGGTACTTGGAGAGGACATCATGCTTGAAAGAGTGGACAGACAGCGCAGGAGAGGAAGACCTCGGATGAGAAGGGTTGATATAGTGACTTGGGCAATGTTAGTGTGTTGAAATTAGTGAGTCTGGCTCAGGACAGGGCAGACTTCAGAGCTGCTGTACATAGAATCGCTTTTGGTCACAAGTGACTCAATAGTACATAACTACAATATAACAACAAAGTATAATATTTTTTCAATGAGGAATCCAATCACTGTTGAAATAATGAAGATCTTGAAAAGGTGAAAAAAAATGAGAAAAACAGGAGAGGGTAGCGGGAGAAGGAGAAACAGAATGCAAACTACAAGAGAGAGGAGAACAAAAGGAGGAGAGAACAAAGGGCCCAGAAGAGGAGGAGTCCGAAACCAAGGGAGAGTCTTGGGAAAAAGCATGATGGGCAGTGTCAATTGCTGTTGAGAAAATGAGTAAGATTAATGCCATGGAAAGCACCTAGAAACTCAAAGAAAGGACAGACTCAAACAATAACTCATCACTGTGGAGTTAAACCGACTTACGGATGACCTCCCACAGATTCACAAGGGCTACAGATTGTATGGGGGAAATGAGCCATCTTTCTCCACAGAGCAAGTGGTGGATTTGAGTCATTTGCCTTTGGGTTACTAACACATCTTATCCAGTAGGCTACCTGTAAGGATAGAAGTCTATACATAAAGCCTGAATTGAAGAAAGAGCTAAAAGAG